CTGTGTTTTATAAATTTATTTTCTCACCTTTGGACTCAATATAGTCTTGTCCTATTTGACTGGAGTTAACTTAAATTCACAAGGAATAATGTGATGCTGCAGTCGCTGTGGCACATCTGGCCTTGCAAAAATAATCAAGGAAACCTACTAATCTAGTAAGAAAATCTGCTTACACAAATATAACAAATATATTCTTTCTGCTACTGTTAGAACTGGAGCATACTAACTTTAGATTGCTACATATCTTAAAAGATAGGATCTCTTCTAATTCAATTACTTTCCTTTTTAAATAGTTATGCTGTTTGTAGGGCCTATTCTGTGACCACTTAGGTTGTCAAAAGCTTTGTATGCCTTTGGAAACCCTGTTACAATGTTTGAAGTCTTCGAAGCCTACACAATCTATTTGTGTTTTGTATTACTAAGGAAATCCCAGTATCCCAAGATGCTTTCCAAACTGGAAATATTTGCTTCCTTAAGCAAATTGATTTGATCCTAGAAACATTATTGCACACTGCACTCTGCTTGCTGCTGACTTGTTACTTTGGCTTTTTAATCATCTCTAATTTAAAAGTATTTGCCACTGTGAGGGTAATGTCTGTGTTCTCTCACTGCTCTTAGATTTCTGATCTGATAGCTGGGCTAGATGCAAGTGAACTTAGCCCTTGTCAACTTAATGTTTGTTGCAGGTATGTTGTTTTTCAGCTAATAATTTAAGTTTACTGTTTTTGTTCTTCATTTGATGCCTCATACACTCTGTTTATGATAACTTTGCGCAGTAGGAGTGAACGTGCAGAATGGATGAATTTTACTGAGATGTTATTGTTTGTCATTAGGGTTGGATGATCTTTTTTGTGACTCTGTTATTAAAGATGCAAATAGTTTTAATCTTGTGATTGTATGTATGTACAGTATACTGTTAGGTGCAGGTTTTAGTTAGAATATATCAATTTTTAGAGACGAATTTTCTGTTTTACAGTGGTTGTCAATCACATACTCCCAAAGATCTTTTTCAAGCAATGGGGTCATGGTTTTGCATGTCATAACAAATACAGTAAATAGACCAGTCAGCTTGGGGGAACCATCCTAAAAGTTTTCTGTGGTTGGTAGACATTTCTAGAGTTGGCAACACTGAAAGCCCTTCCTCTTCTGATCTAGTGTCATCTAACTCTGAAAAAGATTTGAGTCAACATGCTGCCAGTTGTTCGTGTCCCCGTGTATCTGAGAACTCCCAGTGTTGTAATTTGAGTGTGCCTAAATTGCAGGCAGGAGTGTTCTTATATCTTGGATAAGTAAGACCCTGGGGGACTTCATGCAGGAGATGAGGGGAAACACTGGCTTGTCTTGGAGGCTTCTTTCACAGAGGCTGTATCTGTTGCTTATGTATGGTGGCTAGACTTAGGATGCCCATATTACAAGTGCAGACTCTATCAGATAGTCAGTTGCTTAGGCAGTAAGCTGTTAACAGAGACAGTAACATAGTGGTAGCTATAAATTCTTCCATAAATGTCAATAACTAAGTAGCACTTCTGTGGAAAGTGAGCTTTCCTATTGTACACACGAACATAGGGTGTCGCTGGCTCTTCTGGCATCTTGCTGTATTTTGAATGTGTGATGATAGACACATCGTTTCTGTTCACCTTAGGTCTTCCCATAGCTGCAGAAAAGTAGGGCAAGATTCAGGAGTCTGTAATGACCAAAGCACCACTATGGAACCCCTACCCAAAAAAGTATCTTTAGAGAGCTGCCAAATAGAAGTAGTTATTTAAAGGAGTGCCTGATAGGGAAGGAATGAGTACTGTCTTGGAAGTTTGTGGAGTAGAGTCTGAGACTGAGATAGGAAAGACACATGAGGAAAAAAGAAAATTGCAAAGGCTAGGGAGGACAGAGGACTAGAAAAATTAGAGGAGAAGAGAGTGTAACAGGTTAAATAGTTTTGGATTGCCCATGTGTGGTACATCCTAGAGCTTTGCATGCATTTCAGGAGTTGTACATCACTGATCTTTGAATTTTTTTTTTTTTTAATTAGCATTCGTGAAAAAAGCCATAATCTCCCTTGTTGTTATTTACTGGTTAAATAGTGGAAGTTGATTTGTAGTTACCAATTCAATTTTTCAGATCATACTGCTATATTGCCAGCAGAATTTGTCATGGGATACCTAGATGTGTAGTATCAGTTTAACATGCAAAGTTTGCATTGAAACAACCTCTAAGTTTTAAGGTCAGGCAACTCGTAATTCCAGAATTGAGCTTGCCTCTGCTTTGTTAATTAAGTTCTCTTGCTACACCTTATGATACCATCTTTAATTACACGATCACATTATTTTTTCCAAAGCTGCTGGCTTCACTTCATGCACAGATCTGCTCAAAGGGTGAATCAGGGCTCTGCAGTGAAGGACACTTTTGCCTGGAGGAGCCTGGTGAACTTTTACAGAAATTGGAAGGTTTCTGTGGGAAGGAGAGGGCTGACAAATAGGGAACTGGCAGGAAATGGACAGGTGATCTGAAGAATGGATCAATTAAATATTCCTTTGGGTTATTAGGTATGGCATTAAGAAAACTACTTAGAGCTGTCTTTTTGTAAACGTTCTTTAAGCATGCATCTTGTTTTCTGAGTGTTTTTTGGTGGAAATGTTGAGCGCTCAGAGCTGCAAGCAAAAGCCACCAGAAGCTGTGCCTTAAACATCGTTACTTAAGTCAGTAACAGTAAAAAACCGGGAACTCAGTGATGCAGAAATAGTACTGTTCACTTGTACCGGACTGTTTATGAAGTAGCAGGATAGTGGTAGGTGCCTTCAAGAAAATAAGAATATGAACCAAAGCGCTTGAAAGCATTAAGGCTGGTGTGAGTATGGAAGAGGAAGATGAGAAGTGTGGGTGGCATAGGGGAGCAGGGAGACTTTGATAGTATTTATAAGGGATTACTTCTGTCCCTGGTATTGGCTGGTGCTCATGAGCTAGTTCTCACTGGTTTTCCACAATGCTCTCCTGTGTGTCTGCTTCCAGGCAGTTTACTCTCTGGGGAGTAGCTTGTATGGACTGCCAGCTTCCTTCTGGAAGCAGTGTTACCCAAACAGATAAACCATCCACAATTTATGCTGGCTTCTCCACATATGGAATGTTTTGTCTGCAAAAGGATGAACTAGATTGTGCTAATTGTAGTGCATGAGAATGTTTAGAAAATTCATAGGAAATGCATCTTATGTGCTGTAAGAAGCAAGGATTAGGTTGGGAGGGGGGAGACCCTGATTCTGCAGTTCAGTCTTGAACGTATGAATATGTGTATATAGATACAGGGGTAATCACATCCGTCTTTTTGCTTGCCCCAGAAATCTCAGTTGTACACTGTACATTTTTGGACATTTTGAGCAACCTGGTCTAGTGGAAGGTGTCCCTGGCAGAGGGGTTGGAACTAGATGGTCTTTAAGATCCCTTCCAACCCAAACTGTTCTGTGATTCTATGAAAACGTCCAAAACTGTTGCTACTTTTGACAAACACTGTACTTTGTCCTGTGATGACGGTTTCAAGAATATAAGCAGAGCACACATGCAGGGAGCTAAGATGTCCACTGTAGAGAAAAGATTATCTTTTAAGATACATCCAAAAATAACTATGTATACTGGCAAAGAATTGTGATATGGGCTGTGGCAACTTCATGGTACAAAAATTTCCTGATGTGTTTCACTAAGCCAGTGGATGCCCAGGGACCCTGGGATCCTAATGAAGACCGGAGGAGGGGAGTGCACTTCAAAATGCAATGTCTAATGAAAATAAAAATCTGCTATGATTTACATGAGCTGTAGGAACTTTTAGTGCATTTGTTGTCCTCCTAAAATCTTTGTATGTTGGTGTTGTGGAAGTTTGTTTTGGGTGGGTTTTTTTTTGGTGGTGAGTTTTGATTTCGGGGGTTTTTTTTGGTGTTTTGGGGTTTTTTTTAGTACTTCCCCCCCCTTATAGCCCAAAACTGAATTAAATGAAAAGTCTAGTTGGTTTGCAAAAAGGATAATGGAAATGTAAAGCTTAAGGAGGAAAAAAAACCAGAGGTGGGGGACACAACTGTGTGACTTAGATATTGGTGCTTGAGGGAATAGTATGTTCTCTTAAGCCTTTCAAATATCTGGAAGATATCTGTCTGTGTTTCATTTTAACTTTTCCCTGCAGGTGTGCAACTACTTTGATACTCAGATATCTAGGATATTAAATAATGGATGAAAAGAATGTTTCACTGTTTGGTCTTATTCTCATAGTCCTTTAGTATGACATCTCAATTTATTTGACTTAGGATAGATGAAAGTTTTAACTTTCATGTTGTTTGGTTTTGCTTACCTTGATATTGATACAGATGTGTCCTTCTATTTGTGTAGGTGTTCTACAGATGTTTTCAACTGTTTATGGTATGTTTTCTGACAGAAAACTTCAACTATTTGTGATTATTCATGGAAATATTATTAAAAAATGGAGAAATAACATGTACTGTACTTTTTCTTTATCTGTGTAGTCTATAAAACATTAGTTACTAAGCAACTCTGAAGAAAGACATGGTCAGATGGCAAAAATGTCAGAATGCAAACCTAAAAATGTAGTGACACTTGTATAAAATGTTCACTGCATGAGCTTCTGTTATGTTTATTTATTTCAGTAGGGCCTGAATTCAGCCACTGATCTCAGAAGTTTGAGAATTATAAACTGTTATCATGAGGAAAGGTTTGAGAAGATGGTCCCATATAGCATGCTTTAAAAAATTGTATCCTCAAACTGATTTTAAATGGTTTCAAGTGTTCTATTTAAATATGTTCTTTTTTTGTTATACAATATAATTTGATTTACGTAAGTATATGTGTGTTTTGGTTTCTCTTCTGTTTTTTAAACAGATTTCTGTGGACCACAAACCTCAAAACCCAATATCAGTCTCATTATGATGCCTGAACATCTGTAGCTAACTACAGGATTTTAAAAAGAAATCCAGCATGGCCTAGTTGGCTTGACCTTTGGAAAATTTATAATGTCCTCTGGAACCAGTATCAGCAAAAATCGGCAGGCTCCGAGCCTGCAGGGTGTTGACCCAGAAACATGCATGATAGTATTTAGAACACACTGGGCACAGGTAATGTTAATTAGTTTTATTGATTTGAAGTAGGCTGCATTAATAGCAATTTGCTTCATTCATTCTTTTGGGATAATCCTGAATTGCTCAGGAACGTGCAGAATGTAGTAGATGACACTAAAACGTTTTTAAAATGCAAAGCTAATTGACTTTTCAAGGTGTGGTTAGGCTGTACTAATCACACTTTGAACTCCAGATTTGCATCTACATGGGAAGTGATAGGACGTGCTGATCTTACAGCCTAGATCTTACTGGCTTTCCGGTGATTCACTGTGACTTGTACCCTCTTGCAACCTTCTGTGCTTCCTTTCCTTGTGCTGGGTAAGGCTTGCCTGTCTTCTGTGAAGTGTATTAGATGCTTGAGCGCCAAACTGTATGCGGTGGTGTTTATTGTGGACAGATGTAGATTATGCACTTCATAGTGTAAAAAGTTTTTGCATGTCATCAGGATTATAATTGCTTTTAGGCAAAGCTATTTTGCTCCGAGCACCATAATATAAGGTCCTATTTTGTGCAGCAATATGAATAACTAATGGTTTATGTAAAATGGATTTCTGTGCTGCTGCTTTTGCTGGCTTTTGGCTAGCCCAAGAAGCAAGCCAGATGAATGATGGTGTTTGAGATGTTCCCAGAGTCAAAGGAACCTTCGTTCAAGAGTCATCTTCTCCCATTTAACTCCAGTGATGCTGTCGTCTTAGGGGAGCTGCTGTTCATTTTTTCATTTGTGGCAATTATCCTCCCCAAAAAGGTTAGACAGTGGTGGTTTCACAGACAATGAGCTTCATTGGTTGCATGCAGAACAGGATTTAATCCAGGGGTATAAGTGCTGGAATGACAATTGGTACTCAATCCTAAATCTGTACTGAATGTTGCCAAGAGTATGTGGGCATCAGTGGCCATTCGGTATCATGTAAGGTGTGGCAAGGGAAGATCTGCTCTGTGGGCTTTTGCCACTCTTACTACTGCCAATCATCTCATGATACTGATGCTCCTGAGCACAGTTGCTCTGGCTGAAGAGCAGGCCCTTTGATTTCAGTCCTTGTTTCAAACATCATTGAAACTCAGTTTCTGAAGGTGAAGGGAACCTAGTTTATCCATACTTCAGAGAACTCCGAGTTTTCAGCGGTAGGACAAGTGGCAAATTTAGGTGCTTATTAAAAAAAGGCCAACAAAAACATTACATTTTAGTATTATATGTGCCAAATGTGAAACTTTGAAATTTAGGAAGTTTGACAGACAAAACCTAAAAGCATAAAAAGGGTTTGTGCTTTTTGTGTGAAGAATTTTAATGTGTGGGGTTTTTTGTGGGTGTGGGGTTTTTTTTTCCCCCTCCTTACAGGACTAAGGGCATATTTAAAAAAAAAAAAGCATTCAAATAACTGATCTGCCTTTGGTTTGCCTTTAGGTTCTGAAAATCTTAGAGAAGCACGATCCTTTGAAAAACACCCAGGCAAAGTACGGGGCTATTTCACCTGATGAGGCCAGCACTGTTCAGAATTATGTGGAGCACATGCTTTTCTTATTAATTGAAGAGCAAGCAAAGGGTGCCTCGATGGGGCCTATTCTGGAGTTTGTGGTATCAGAAAACATCATGGAGAAGCTTTTTCTTTGGAGCCTGCGGCGAGAGTTCACCGATGAGACAAAAATTGAGCAACTCAAAATGTATGAAATGCTAGTAACCCAGTCTCATCAGCCTTTGCTGCATCACAAGCCCATCCTGAAGCCTTTGATGATGTTGCTGAGTTCCTGCTCAGGAACAGCCACTCCAACAGTGGAAACAGAGCTGGTCATCCTCTTAAACCAGCTCTGCTCTATAATAGCCAAAGATCCCTCCATTTTAGAACTGTTTTTCCACACCAGTGAGGACCAAGGAGCTGCCAATTTCCTCATATTTTCCCTGCTGATTCCCTTCATCCATCGAGAAGGAACAGTAGGCCAACAGGCCCGTGATGCGCTGTTCTTCATAATGTCTCTGTCTGCAGAAAACAACGTTGTTGCAAACCACATAGCAGAAAACACCTACTTTTGCCCAGTAAGTTGTGCTTGTTTTGCTTGATCTTCACTGCCAAACTGTCTCCCCTGTATTTTGCTCACCTTTTTCTGTCATTTTTGCAAAAGATGTGCTCCAACACATTTGTTTCTGCTAACAGCTCTTTCACAAGTAGTAGTGCCATTCAAGCCAGCCTTACTGTCAAACTCAGTCTTGCTCCTTGTTTTCGTACGTGTGTTTTGTGCTTTTGGGACAGCACAAGTAGTTTTGCAGTCGCACAGTGAATCGAGTTGGGAAACTGATTGAAGTTCTAGACCTTTGTGGGAGGTAAATCTGTTGTGCCTCACTGTGAGGCCCTGTAAGATTCTGGGAGTGAAGTGAGTGAGAAATGGGCTGTTTCTCTGTTCCGAGGCTGCTGTTTCTGCTGGCAGTGCTGGCTTAAGCAGGATGTGCTTGCCACACTATAGCATCAGTTCAACAGTTCAAAAACATAAGTGTGAAAATAATGTGAGTGTTACAGTAATGTAATATTTTTGCAAGATGTAAGGGAGACTTGCTCTTTGTCACAGAATTGGACACTTCTATGGCCCCCTCAGGCAAACCACCGTCTTGCTATGTTGTGTTCTGTTACAAAACTTGGTAGTAGTGTTGCGTTGTTAGGTCTGGCAAATCAGTCTTACTACATGAATAGAAAATGTTTGCTGTTAAACGAGTTACTCTAATTTAATAATCAAAGCTGCCCAACTGCAGTGTTAAAGCTAAAGCAGAATGGACATCACAACAAAAATCAGTTTGAGATCTGCAACGCATGGGTTCAAAACCGGTTGCTCTTTTGTGCCAGCTTTTGAACGGATTCATTTATCTTCTGCATGGCTTGTGTTTTAGTTTAAAAATGGAGGGGAGCCATACTTAGCTACAAAGTAGAGAATACTAGAATCCCTCCCTTAAGAATTCGTGCACGACAGCTATTCCAGCCCTACGTTTCCACTTAGTCTGACATTGCTATGTCCTTTGAGCAGTAGGGCAGAGCCAGGTTTGCAGGCTGGAGGAGACCTCCAAGTTCTGAAACAAAACTTCTAAATGGTTTCCTTTGGCAGTTGTAAATATCCCATCAAATTCTTGGTGCTGAAAGACTCCAGGTGACCTTGTTTAATAGATGCTGCTAAAGAATATGAACTTGATTCTCAAACTGTCTCCGAGACAGATACCATTATTGGATCCATGCTATAACTTCTACAATTACATCTTCCAATTAATTAAAAAAAAAAAAGGCAGCCTTTTTACACTGAAGATAAAAGCCAGCTATATTAACCTTCGAACAGCAGGGAGCCGTGATTGACAATCATTCTAATTAGGAAGGCTTCTTGTCAAAATGTGCTAAAATCAGACTTTTCTGAACAGTAATGAGACTAGCCTAAGTCTGTAATAAAACTTTAATGCAATGCCATAGAATTAGCTCAAAATTAGCACAAAATCTCTTCTGAATTTGAGTCTGAGCTGAAGGAACAGGTTTTGTTCTGGTAGAAGACTGTAGCTGTCAGTGGCATTGCTGTGTATCAATCAAATCAGTGCAGATGTGGCCTCACCTATGCTGCAAAACAGCTAGCACAATCCTGTGCTGATAGGAGTGGAATTTGGGTGGCACCGTGGTGATGCTATTTCTGGTTCTGGGGCCAAGTTGGTTAGGAACCTATAGGGTTTTCTTTACCATACCTAAGTGCATAGTATAGGCATGCCCTGAGATGGGGTCTGGCCATAAATCTCTGCTGCCTCACATACCTGAATCGGTGTTAGATCGGTGCCAGGATGAACCTGAAGACTTGCATGATACTGTGTTTTTGAGCTAACTTTGATTAGCAGGTTTTTAAAACTAGATTACCCATGGTATACAGACCTCTAAGAGAATAAACTATAGAGAAGGAAGGGGAAAGGCTGCAGTAAAATACATCACTAGCAAAGGTTTTAACACAGAATGTGTAGACCAGCTATTGGGCAAAATTTTCTGATTTGGCAGAGATTTTTCTGCCATATCATTTTCATCATGCTCTGACGTGAAAGTTTTTTCTGAATCTGATTGAGATATTGTCTGTTCAGCATTATAGTAAGCAAACAGTGTTTCTAGAGAATTTTGAGCAGGATAGCATCTCAAAGTCTCTCTGTAAAACTTTCTATTAGTAAATACCTCACAGCTTAGGAAAGCAAGTACTAAAGCAGGAGGAGGTATGGCTCTGCAGCATCCTTGAAAAGTTGAGGCTGCACAGAGATAGAGACTATGGATGTGAAGGAAAGGGAATTACTAAAGGGAAGGAATTGGCCAGATAGCAACTGATTGTATATTAACAACACCTTTTAATCATATAATGTGTCTGAAATTACAAATCGCCAAGTCAGTGTCTTCTGTGAGTCAAGAGAAAGTAAATAAATCAAGAAGACTGGTTGGCAGAGACTCATGACTTGATGGTGAGAAAAAAGAAAACAGCAGGAGATGCTTAAAAGTAGATGAGCATGTAGGGTTGTCTTGACAAATGTTGGGAGAAGTTTAAAAAGACACTGCTCTGGGTAAAACAAAAATAAAAACAAATCTTGCCCTTCCAGATGTGAACTTATTAATTTCTTTCCCTTTCAGATTTTTTTTGTTGATATTTCTCTTTTTACTGATTAAAACTCCATGATGTAGTCTATATATGTGTATTATTTTATATGCCTGCTTATAGAATGTGAAGAGTTTTGTTAGTCCTTACAAATAGCAATCCTGTTCATACCATATACTTCTATGGACATTTTCAAGTTCATATCTAAAGATATGAAATTGCTTCCAGTGGCTACTCTGTCTCACTGCTTTAGAAACATCATTTCACCCATTTGTGTCATACTTCACAGCAAAATAAGAGCCTTTTGAACTTAAGAGATTTTAGCAGCTACATCTGTCACTTCTTTCTTCAGTAAGTCAGAAAAACTATAGAATTCTTCATGTCAAGACGTTGACTGATTGTGAGTTCACTCACTCCTTTTAGTGGGGAGTCATGTGTTTCACTCAAGGTCAGTTTCTTTTGCTTAAGGAGTAAACTTCCATATGGAGGAGAAGCGTAGATAGTACACAGCTCTGAAAATCAGATTGTCTACTGAAAGGGTAAGTATGTGTTTATGAATAGCAATTAAATTTTAAAATGACAATGGAAAATCAAGTGTGTGTGAATTAACAGGTTACAACACAAAAGAAAGTCAAGTTCTCTCTTCAGAATTTTTTCCTTCCTAGAATGCTCTGAAGCTTTGTGTGTGTGTGTGTGTTACATATAGGTGGTTCTGTAGGCCTACTAATATCTTCCTAACTTTTTGCTTCTTCTACCGTGAGAGAGAAAAAGCAAAAAGATTCTAGTTATAGAAGAATGTGTTTGTACAAATAGCAGCTTTGCTTAATGGCTTTAGCTTCTTAGTTTTCTAACATATCTCCAGCATCTTTCTTTATATATCTATATGTGTATAAAAAAGTAGCATAGTCTGCTAAAGCAGTGAATTTTCCACAGTATTTCACCCACCTTGTAGTATTTGGCTTAATTATGTACACCAGAATAAATCCATCTTAGAAACAATGTGATTTAGGAATGGAAAACATTCAAAAAGACAGCCTTTGTCTGACTGGGTGGGTTAGCAATTGTAACTGGTTATCCTTGTGTATGATCAAAACCTGAATCCTCGTCCATGAACCCTTGGTCTTTGACTTTCACGTTGTCAGCTGTTTATTTTCTAATGGGTACAGCAGTTGTGTTTCTTCTGAGCTTTGGCTGTCAGCCCTGTAGATGCCAAGCAGCCCTTTGCAGAAAGAGGAAAAATTCATAGGCTGTTGAATGAAAACTAAAAAGATTTCCATCAGGCTGAGTCTTAATGTTCCCATTAAAATGAGGATCATCGTAAAAAATTGTGCTGAAGTTGTATAAAATCATGTCAGAAGGATAAGAGTTGTGCAATATTTAGAAAATTTGCAGCTTTTATTAATAAAAATCTTGGTCTGAAGCTATCGATACTGTAGATATATTCAGTAACATTTAAAAAACCTTATTGGAAGTAGACTTTTAAATTGTAACTAAAAATACAATCTTATGCTTCAGTGATGCATTCTACATAAATCATCTGTAAGCCTTAGTATCACTGGAAACTGTCTATATAGCAACTAATTTCAGATTTTTTATCTCTTCCCTTTCTTCTTTAAAATACATTAGAAAGGAAAATGAGAAATTATGAACAGTCCAAATTTTTTTTTGAAGTGGATTCAGCTGAGTTCAAGTGCCTAGGAATGAAAATGAACATATGTCTGTGGTCTACGTGATGCTGAACTTCATCGTTGTTGATGGGGCACTTTCCCACTCTGTTTCTGATGTTTCATCTTTCCGAGTGAAATCACTTCATGTAGGTGCGTGTAAGCAGTAACATACAAATCACCAACGGAAGACAAGCTGTAGATAAATGACAGCAGTGGCTGCTTCTGGAATGGACGGGAAGTACAAAATGATTTTACAAGTATTTAAAAAGAAATTATAACTTCAGATCTGAAAAAAAAGTATAAGACCACCTGCTTTTCCCCATCACTTTCTCCTAAATACCATTGGAAGAAGGATGTTAGATGGAAGGCTCTTTAAAATATTCATGTCTTTCTGCCACAGGACTCTTCTTGAAAAGGAAATGAAATTAATCACAAACCTCTTTTATGCTACTAAAACTAGTACGATAAACTCTTTGTGACATTGCCATTCAAGCAGATGGACCATTGGAAAGTCAACTTATTTCACTTCTGGTTTTGAAATACAGGTGTTAGCAACTGGACTAAGCGGCCTCTACTCATCTTTGCCTACGAAGCTGGAAGAAAATGGAGAGGAGTGGCACTGTCTGCTCAAAGATGACTGGCTCTTGTCACCAGCCCTTGTACAGTTCATGAATTCCCTTGAATTCTGCAATGCTGTGATACAGGTAATGGAGCAGAGTTGGCCTGTCCTTTTGAAGTAGTAGTGGTTTATATATTCTGCAGAAGCTTGTAAATGATAACGTTTGTTTACTTTTATTAATGACATGGGTGTTTTAAGTTACACTAAAATAAGTTGCTTATAAAATGAAAGCTTTGTGCTGTTTGTCCTGGTTATAAAGATGAATTAATGTGGTTTTGTTTTTCAGGTGACAGATGCTAGGGATGAAAGCAGTAGATTTTTGTAGCAACTTGGCATGTCATTAAGTAATTGGGAGGATTTTCTGGTGTGGGGTAGTTTGTGGGGTTTTTTTTGGTTTTTGTTCTTTCTTTTTAAAGAAGTTTTATTGCCTTTTAATAGCACTGACATTAAAATGAAATTGAATGCCTTTACATGTGGGAAAGTGTAGTCTTAATATATTTAAGCACTGAAAAACATTCTGTGTTTGTCTAAGCTCTTATAATAGCGTACAAAAAAAAATAGTGTGTTTTGCCTGTTGGTGAGTACTGCATAAAGAAAGCTTTCCAAGCAGAATTTAAGTATCTTCCTAGAAATATAAATTAATTTTAGATTGGCCTGATTTGAATCCACTCTCTGTTCTTAATGATTATTTCTTGATTACATTTTTTTCTTTTTTCTGGCTTTGATCCTTTAATATCTTTTTCCTCTCATCTAAATGTAAAATGAGATTTTTGGTGGCTTATATTGTTATTAAGGGTAGAAAACCCTATAGAACCCCTGTCCAGTATTTTGTTGAAACATAGTATAAATGCTACAGAAACTGGATTTATGTGTTACTTGAAGACACGTGCTGAATAAGATTGAAAATTTAGTCACACTTCTGTTAAATAAAAGATACGTTTTAGTGAGACGCGTGAAATGCAATAGAGCAACTGATTGACTATGAAAGCATTGAACAAGCAAAAATAATAGTAGCTGTCATTCGTTAAATGCAATATACAAGATTTTTAACATGCACGTTTAAACGTGAAGAGGAGACAATATTCATTTTGGTGTCTAAGCTGAATTTTTCTACAGATCTACATTTGCAGAAGGTCATATTTAATACCTTTTTAAAAAATTGATGTAAAGGTTATGGCAGATAAATGAAAGAGGAGCATATTATTTTAAAACCACTTTTCAAATAAACTCAAAATGGTTAAGGATCTTCAGCTGACATGCAGAAAGAGCATCTTCTGACTGCTGCTTGATTGTGTCTTTACAGCCTTTCTTCAGCTGAATTGAAAGCTCAGTTACTGCAGGCATTTTTGCTCTGTGCATGGAATGGTCTTTGTGGTGTGGCTTGTTCCGTGTTGACCCAGAAGCTTTGGCCAGAGATTAAAAAGGGATAGTGTAGCCAAGACATCTTGCCATTTACTACTTTTTTCCTAGATCACAGCATGGGAAGGGCAACCTTTCCCCTTTCCAAAGTAAGGCTTTTAATTACAGAAAGTCTGGGAAGAATTGCAAGTGGGAGATGTATTTTTGGTCACATGTGGGCTGTGACATTCCAGTCTCTATGTGAACTTCAAACAGAATATATTAACTTAGAATGCTTCTGAATGGATTTTTTTTTTTAATCAAATTTCTCTTAAATGCATGAATTGATAATATGTTTTCTTTGTAAAAATAAAATGAATGCTTCATTATAAAAGTAAACTTCTGGCTTGTAATAACAGTTCATTTTGTAAAGCTCCTAACCAACCTATTGAATGAATAATGTAGGGTTTGTTTCCATTTCTGTTTGTTTCACAGTGGCTGGGAGAAGGGCATGTGAGCTGTACGTTCTTACCCCATAGCTAGAGAGTGCTTTGGTTTACCAGCTCTTGAACCATAGGAAAGCAGCTGTTCTGCTTTTTCTTGTACAAGGACAAGTTAACAATGGCAAATCCACCTTCAAGTGACCCTGACGAGGTTGCAGGAGCTAAATTTAGAAGCTCAAATCTTCCTTTGATGCATGGGTTTACACATTTTTCTGTCCATCCATTCATCTTTTGTCAGCATGCAGGGAGATTGAAAAGCCCTGTTCTCTAAATTTGGCAGGCTTACTGTAATTAAACATAGCTTGTGTATTTGTTTGAAGAAGGAAAAATCTATAAGAACCTGGTGAGATTCTTAAATCTGCTGATGAGAAGGACAAATGAACATGTCTTGTTAAACAGGAAAGGGTTTGGGTAGTGGATAATAGTAGTTTGTGCACCGTCTTGTTTTGGATCTCACTGTAACTGTTCTGTGTGTCTCTTCCCCATCCTCTTAGGTGGCACATCCCTTGATACGTAACCAGCTTGTGAATTACATTTACAATGGATTTTTGGTGCCGGTAATGGCTCCTGCGCTCCATAAGGTCAGTGGTGTATGCAAGCAGGACAGGAAATAATAACGGATAAAAGCATTATGGATGATCTCTGTGTGAAAGATACTATTAAATGTACTGTCAGTAGTGACTTCCATATAACTGAGTAGGTTTCCATCTTTTCATTCCATACTTTCTATTTACACTATACAGCAAGCAAGATATAGGTATTTCTGAAAATGTTTAAAATTAAGTGAAATGAAGAACCAAAATCTTCTTGCTGCACTAGGCTGACATATCAAAAAAGCAGTGATCTTTTAGACAAACATTTCATCATGGCAGACGTGTTTCCTTAAGGATTTTTTTTTTTCCAAAAGGAAAATGCCCACAAGGAGAATATTCAGTCAAGATACATTATGCTAATTTTAGCACAGTTGCTATTGTTTTGAACTTCCTTATCACAGTTGGTAGAGCTGTTTTCATAAAGTGGAGAAGTGCAGTTTGGTATCAATTTTCTAATGTATTAGGTTGCAATTTATCTTGCTTTGAAGAAAAATATAAATCCATTTTTCTGAGCATTTTTGGAGTTACCCTTTGCCAAATATGTCACTGATGTTGGTGAATAACTTAATTTTGAGGGATTTTTTTTGTTAGACTGCAGAAACCCACATTTCCAAGTCTTGCAGAATGTGTCAATTAACTGCTTTGTAAGAAGAACACCTTGTTTTAGGAGGAAAAGTAGGAATTGCTGAGAGTAAAAATCCACCAAAAACTGCTAGGAGATGACGAATAAATTACCTTTTGAAGATCTACTAATTTTTACTTAGTCTGCCAAGCAGAAAACACAGCACCTGTTCCATTTTCTGAGAGGCCAGTGAAACACTGTACCCTGGTTTCTAGTCTAGGTTTTGGCAGTGCACACAATTCTTCATGGTAAGTAGTCACTTACCAAGAAAGTAATAAGCAGTATAGAATTTTCTTCAATGATTCAACAGACCTCAAATGTTTGGAACTTGGCGAGGGCTGAAATAAAATTTGGCTGTGATCCAGATCAAGGCTGTAATCTGTCACTGAGATAGTTCATCTCCTTACCTGCCAGTAATTTTTTCTATTTCTGTATCTTGACTTAATCCCTTACCAAGACCAGGAATTAGAATCAGAAGTGAAAAGCTAACCAGCTTCAGGTCAAGGTTATGGATAACAAGGGAGATATCAGAATGTAGCTGTGGGATTCTATTCTTAGGAACTGTTTTTACCTCTGAAGACAAATTTTAGGTTGTTTTGAATACTACCACACTGCTGAATGCCATTCCTATTGGTCAGTGAATCTGCTAACCCCATATTGGCTTGATTATTTCCCTGCTGATGTTACTTAAATAATTTAAAGCATGCTGTTCTGATGATTTTTTTTTTCATGTGATGCAAATTTTGTTGAATCTCATTCATCTACTCTGAAATTGGGTAAAATGTTATTTCTCTTGAAAATGGAGATGATTGCTGCTAATGTATGTGAGTTTTAAGCCTAGATCTTTCTTGAACCCTGACATTCTGCTTGGTGCCTTGTTCTTCCAGTAATAAGGAAGATAATTAAGATAATAAGTAATGATAATCAAGAACTTTCCTTGATTATCATTAAGTTTGACTTTTTCTTCTTTAAAATTTAACTTCTTACATGTATAAACTTCAAACACATTTAATGGAGAAGATGGATTGCACCATCTAGTGGATCTGATACAAGGCGCTGGCATATATGAGACCAAAACTCCATAGCAAAAGGAAACCAGTAGAGAGGCTCATTCGACCTCTTCAGTCTTTCTTGTGCTGTGCTCCATATTAATTTAACAGAAAATAAACTTTTAACACCCTTGCTTTTGGGACAGATGTCTATGTGCTAAGACATAATTATGCTGTAGCATCTCTTTCATACATTAGAGTAATTTCTACTTGCCATTGAAAACATTCATGCTTAGTTGAGGAGTAGGCTTTAAAAACTGTATCATCCATTTAGGGGCTTAAGTGTTGTAATTAACCTTCAGTTTAAGAAAAAATTGTGAAGGGCCAAAATGAGAGAGAGGCCAGATGCACCAAGGTGTTTGTTTAAAACAGAAGTTCTTTCATTGAACACAGTACTAAATGGATCTTGGTTTTTTGACTCTTTTAAACAATGAAGCTGGTGTGGTATCCCAAAATCTCCTTGTGGCTGAAGACTTTAGATTATATTCAGTTGTTCAGTTCAGGTTGTTCTGACTCATTCTGACTTAGGAGTTCAAATACAATGAATAGCAGAGCATGGTATAAATACCTGATTAGGAAGACAGAGCTATGGAAGATTAGAGGGAGGGATGGTAAGAAGAGATGATAATTATTGGTACATTTAGGCTTTGACTTGCCTGATCCTTTCCCCACACACTCAGGCAGTTTTGCCATATTCCTCCTGGCTCTCCTGTCCCTGTTTCCACCTCTTCCTTTTTATGTTTCAGTTTTGTTAGGAGCTCCTAGTTCATCTATGCAGGCCTTCAGTCTCTTTGCTTGACTTCCTTTTCTTCTCCCAACTTAAAACATCGGACTATCAAGCAAGACTTTTGGTAAAAGTAGCATCAGTAAGGAGAATTTTGGTAACAGTAGTTCAGAATTTCAGTAAGTGCTACAAAGCTTTGAGATATGCATATGTGTGAACTTGAAACGTCTGTAACATCTATAGAACTATGGAGTAAGCTCTGCCTTTTTTCAATTTTTGCAGATTGTCTCCCTATACATACTTACTGTGTACACAGTTCACTCTGTGAATGAAACAGTACAAGAGTGTTGAGGACAGAGATGGGTTTCTATGAGTAAGTCGGGGTGGGGAGGCCAACATATTTTACTTGGAGTGATTTTTATGGTTTTATCTTGGGAAGCCAGTATGAAGTTGAAAAAAGAGTTAGCTAGTTCAGGCTCTTTTTTTCCAGTTAAGGAAGTTTCAAATTCATCAGACTAGCTAGCTTGAAATAATCTGGTTTTCACAGTGAACTCTGTAAGGGTTATTTATGTAGCAGATTAACTACAATGTGCTTAAATAACACAAACATTCTCAAGTTTATGACTCCCAAACGTCATTCTCAAAGATAAGGATCCTAAATATAGCATGTTCTTGTAACCTAATTTATATGGTCTATACTAATCTTGTCACTTCGTGTGGGTTATCCCACCCACACGTGTAATGAGCGATTGCCAAATATGTTCATATCTTAGAAGCTGCAAATTGCTGAAGGGGTAGATGGAACTCAGCTTTGTACTATGTAGCTAGGGATATGCTTTAACTGGCTGTGCTGCATAGCCCTGGCTTGACCTTTTGGTTGTCTGGATTTTATTGTACATTTTATAAAAGCATTCATTCTCTTACTTCTGATACCTGAGTTTCTTGAGACATTGAAGAAAGTGATTCAGTGACTTGTTCAGGTGGGTTTGCCTTTGTGCAAGGTCACAAATTCCTTATTTCTGTACAAATTCAGTTAAAACCAGAAGGAATAAAATACTTTGTCCACAAAGACATGGAGCTGAAGAAAAGGTTAATTTGGTAGATTTATTTTGTAGTAGCAATCCATGACTTAAATTCTTGCGCAAACCATCTTTTGTTCTTCCTGGTGTGTCTGGGATTTAAGAAAATTAAGACTATCTGGCAAAATCTGTTCTTAATTAGAGACTGGTATTTTTTGATGGCATGCCAGTTACAACCTGAAATTATGCAGTTCTGTACCTTCTTCCCTAGGTTTTGATACTTAGGAGAAAAATCTTTTCAAGAAGATATGCTTTGAGCAACCTGGTCTAGTGGAGGGTGTCCCTGCCCATGGCAGGGGGGTTGAAACTAGATGGTCTTTAAGGTCCCTTCCCACCCAAACCATTCTATGATTCTATGATATAATTCTGCTCAGGTGCAGAGCCATAGCTTTCAATTTCTATGATGTATCTCATTGCTATTTCTTGCTTCACTTTCAAAACTAACTTTTTGGAGTTCTATCAAAAAAAAAAAAAAAAAGTCTTCAGGGGCCAAATTGTGCAAGGGTCCAAGTAATCAAATCAGGCTAATTTTTCCTTCAGTCAAAACCTACTGGAAATCCCAGGGTGAATCCAGAATAACCCCATCTAAGTCTAAGTTTTACTGGTTCTGTTAGAGGCCATATTGCCTTAGTTTAGTCTTTATGTATTTGGTAGTAGCAATTGCTTATGTACCTTATTCTTTTAGGAAGTTGTAATAATCTTGCAGAAATCTGATCAATGAAATCCTTTTCAGAAGGTCTTTAAGTATATATTTTCCAGTCTTACCCATGTGCTAAATATTTAGGAGCAACACTATGGTACATATAAGTATTATGCTACCTTTGATACAAATCAGATTGGTTATATACATCTCTTCCCTGTAAGTGCATTTTGATTTAATTGTAATTTGGCATTCAGAGAATTTGGGTGGCAAAGATAGCTATTTGCAATGTCTTGAGTGTTTATATAATTTGGATTATTTCAGTCTATTGAAGATAGTGCTAAAAATTTGATAAATTACATGATAAAAGCACATCTTTAATGTCTTTGCATTTACTGCTATACTACATGGCATTTAATTGCTAACTATGATATAATTATTTTTCTACTTGGAAGGCTTGGTTTAATCTGAATAATGGAAAACTGTACCAGCGTTTCAACCTAAAACATTGCTGTTGGCCAAGTGAACAGAACCACGTGAAGCACTGGCGAAGTCCTGTCAAATAAGCTCAGTCAATGGACCTCAATTCTATTGAGCACTAACCCATCTAAACGAAAACCTCTAACACGATATGCTACTGTGATAATTCAATAATGCTTGCTTGGTGATTACACAGCTCAGCTAGGGGGAAATGACCTGTAAATTATACTGTACAGATTAGAAGGAGCATCTTTATCCTACAAGACCGTCAGTTCTCATTTAGAAATAATACCATCTTTCACCTTACTGAAAAGTGTTTGGACAGCTGCTGTAAGAAGGTGTAAAGCTAAACGTTACTGGAAAACTTTGAATAGTCCCATGCTTTGTAGCTACT